ATGAGATTAATAATTAATAATGTAGGCTTGAAGCAGACCAACTAGTTTTAATTTGGTCCTGCTACATAATAACTATAGCAACTGGGGAAATTATGTAACTTCTCTCGGGTTTCTTTATCTGTAAAGTGAGGGCAATAAGAATATCTCATAGAGCTGTTGTGAGAACTAAATGATGTCTTGGGTTACTATTAGTAATATTACTATAATAAAACAATAGCAGAGAGGATTGACACTTTGCCAGGAATTTCTAATTTCCATCCTAACCTGACATCTAGCTCAGAAGAGAAGATCTTCAATAATTTATATCACCCAAATTTAACTCAGTCAAAGCCTTCTGTTGAATCTTAATCCAGTATGACTATATCCCATAAGGAGATTTTTGTGTTCCCATGTATCTTCTTTCCTGGGTGATCTTGCCCAGACCCGTGGCTGTAAATATCATTCACATGTGGATAACTCTCATATGTCATTCTGTCCTCTCCTATGACCTTCAAGCTCATATATCCAACTGTTGCCAAACTTTTATTTAAATATGTTTTGAATATTCATATATTTAAATATAAGTTTATTTTTATATTTAAAATAAAACTCTTTTGCACAGGCAACAAAAGAAAAAATAGATGAAATTGAACTACCTTGAAACTTAAAACTTCTGTGTATTAAAGGACATGATCAACAGAGTAAAAAGGCAAATCCTGGAATGGGAGAAAATATTTGAAAACCATGTATGTCTGAAAAGGGGTTAATATCCAGAATATAAAAAGAACTCCTACAACTCAACAACAACAAAAAACAAACAACCCAATTAAAATGGGCCAAGGACTTGAATAGACATTTCTTCTAAGAAAATATACAAATGAAATGATGCTGAACATAACTAATCATCAGGAAAATACAAATCAAAACCACAATGAGATATCACCTCACACTCTTGAGGATGGCTACTATTAAAAAAGAGAGATTACAAGTGTTGGGGAGTTTCTGGAGAAATTGGGACCTTTGTGCATTCTTGGTGGAAATGTAAAATGGTGTGGTCCCTATGGAAAACAATATGGTAATTCCTCAAAAAATTAAAAATAGAGCTACCATATAATCCAGGAATTCCATTTCTGAGTATATACCACAAAGAACTGAAAGCAGGTACTTGAAGAGATATTTATACACCTATGTTCACATTATTCACCCCAAAAGATGGAAGTAGCCCAAGTGACCATTGACAGGTGAATAGAAAAACAAACTGTGGAATATAATTCAGCCTTAAAAAGGAAGAAAATTCTGACACATGCTACAGCACAGATAAACCTTGAGGACATTATGTTTACTGAAACAGGCAGTCACAAAAGGACAAATACTGTATGATTCCATTTTATATAAGGTGCCTACAAGGGTCAAATTCATAGAGACAGAAAGTAGAAGGGTGGTTGCAAGGGGCTGGAGGTAGTGGAGACTGGGCAGTTATTGTTTAATGGATACAGAGTTTCAGTTTTGCAAGATAAAGAGTTTAGAGACAGATGATGGTGATGGTTGTACAAAAATGTGAAGGTACTTAATGCCACTGAATTGTACCCTTATACACAGTTAAGGTGATAAATTTTATGTTTTATGTATTTTACCGTAGTAAAAAAAAATTTAATTAAAATAAAGTAAAACTCTTAATTTCCCAAACCCACCATCCCATCTAATTTCCTCATTCCAAAAAACTGGCACCAAGTTGCTTAAGGCAAAAATCCAGAAGGCCTCAATTTCTTCTCTCATGCCACATTCCATAGTAAGTCATGCTACCTTTTGCTTCCAAAATGTATTCTGAATCCATCCATTTATCTCGTTCACAGATACTCCTCTACTTCAGGCCATCCTATGCTCTTGCCTATGATGCTGTAATAGATTCCTAGCCAGTCGACCTGTTTTTGTTCTTGTGCTCCACAGCCAGTTCTCCACATAGGAGCCAGAGTACTCTTTTAATGATAGAAATCACACCTTATCCTTTCTCTGATTAAAAATACTCTGATGGTTTCTCATTGCACAAAGTATGAAATTTGAACTCCTTGTCACTGTCTGTAGGGCACTAGATGATCTGGTCTTCACATAAACTGGCCCCTGGCCAATGTCTCTAACCTGATGTCCCAACACTATTCACTTTGATCACTATGTTCCAGTCACACTGGTCTTCCCTCTGTTGCTCGAGCACCCCAAACACATGCCCTTACCTCACTTGCTGCTCCTCTGCTTGGAACACTGTCTTCCCAGTTCTTCACATGATAGATTCCTTCTCAATCCATATACCTTCTCAGAAAAATATTCACTCACCATTCAATCTAAAGTAGCCACCTACTGACTGTCACTCTTTATACTATCACACTCTTTATCTCTACTTGGTACTTAACACTATTTGAAATTCATATTTATATTCACAAGTTTATTGTTAGTGTCACCAGCGCCCAGCTAAATTGTGAGCTCCATGAGAACAGGTATCTTGTTTCTTTACTCAGTTCCCAGAACCCAGAACAGTGCCGGTCACATAACAGCCTATTCAAATATTTGCTGAATGACCAAAGAGGTAAACAACATTAATGACCCGATTTTCCTTCAATGTCACATTTATATATAACAGCCTTTTGGGAAAACCTGTATTTCTAACATTAGCTGTCACCAGTGTCTTTTCTATCAGTTCTCAAATGTGATAACCAGTCTTTAAAATGCAAGCAGCCTATTTCACATCTCATTTTACATAGGTATACCTAAAGGGAACAAGTTTCCATTTCTATTTCCACTCAAGTTTGTGGCAATGAATAAATATTTATATGGAATTTTAAAACTCATCATGTCTTAAAGCCAAATTGGAAATTACACTCATTCAAAGGGAAAGTCTGGACAACTATGTTCTTAAAAAATTGTTCAAAGCATATTATTATATTTGATTATATAATCTTCTAGTCTGCAGAATATTTCAAGGCCTATTCTCTTCATGGTTAGTTATCTATCTGTCCAGGCCAAAATAGACTAGGGTGAAAATGTAGGATCATATAACAGTACAAATGTGATTTCTTTGGCCCTTCTATTTGTGCAACCCAATCTCCTTCAAAGTCAGACCTCCGGTAATTGGGTTCATGAATATAGATTTGTCTTTTTTTTTCTGAAATATATCTACAGTGGACACCTAGAGAACAGCACAAAAGTGCTGCCTACCACTGACAACTGAAGTCCTGTCACACCATGCTCAACTGCAGCTGCTCTACTGCACTTAAAATGCATGATGATGACATGCCACTTGGGATGTTGTCTGGTGAGGTGAATAGACTCCTGTTCCTTCACTCTTGGGTCATACTCTGATGTTCTGAGGCCAAAGCAAATAATACCTCACAGTGATCTTGGCAAAAAAGAGCTATTCCAGATTTTACTCAAGGTCCCCTTTCTATAAAATCTGTACACAGTCTGTGGCAGCAACAGCAGAGGTTGGACAGACCCTCTGAATCATCCTCCACTCTGATGCGGAAGCTGTTATATTGGACTAAGCCTTCTCAGAAGCTTTCATTTATTTTGAAATATTAAAACAATTTTGAGAGTTGGTACAAGAAACAAGTTTAGAGGGGAGGGTATAATTCAAGCAGTAGAGCACATGATTAACATGCATGAGGTCTTGGGTTCAATCCCTAGTATCTCCTCTAAAAAAAATCCTAATTACATCCACCACCTCCCCCACCCCGGCAAAAAGCAAGTTTACGTTCAAGAAGCATGATTTTCCTTCTTGGTTAGTTCCAGAAAAGGACTGTTACTTGAAATTGGATGTTAAAAAGGATTAAGTCTATTTCGGGAGGCAGGAATATTGGACAGTAAGTGCAAATGGAATGACTAAGATTTGTGTTGACAATTTAAACTCATTTTAAAAAAAATCTACTATGTTTTATGGATATGTTTATATTTCTTTGTGTAAAACATGCTGGCAAGATTAGCATCCCCACTCTGTTTTAATTTTCAATGTAGAATACAATTACTATTAAATAGTTTTATCCAACAGGTTACATTTAAAAACGTACATTTTCTCTTTCTATCACTAAGCCACGATTATTATAAAAAGCAAAGTCCTGCAATGTTAAATTTGGCAGCCCTAATTCTTAAAAGCCTTAGAATGGTGCTGTCCTATAAGATAGCCACAAGCTACATGTGCCTACTCAGCCCTTAAAGCTCTTAAAGTGGCTAATCCAAATTGAAATGTGCTATAAGACACACACTGGATTCTTAAGATTCAGTGTGAAAAAAATTTTAATGTAAGATCAATGATTTTTTAATGTAAGAATATAAAATACCCTCAATAATTTCTATATTGATTAGATGAATGAAATAATAATGTTCCAGATATATTGGACTAAATATATTATTAATTTCACCCATTTCTTTTTGAGTTGCCCTATATAATACATTTGAATTTCATAAGTCCCTGCATATTTTATTACTATAAAATTATTTATCAGAAATTGCAACTGGGTGTCCTATATTTTATTTGTTAAATCTGGTAACTTTATTAATATAAGTAGAAAACGTTAAATTACAAATGTAGCTACTTATTCAATTGGATAGAGAAGCTTTAGAGTTACCTAATAGCTTTGTTTCTTTTTTCAATTATCCGTCAACGCAACTCTGTGCAGAAATAACTAATCTAAGGGGGGACATTTAATTCTAGGCTGAGAACGTCAATAATCTTTAAGTTAAATTTTTACATTTGTTTGAACAAGTTAAAGGACAACAAAAGGGCTTGTTACAGACCAAACTATGGAGAGGGCATTTGGATTAGAATTAAGGCATTGCTTCTAATCTCTCCATTGGGGCAGTTAACGGTTCCGGTTTCAAAACAATCTTTGTCACTCTCGCAATGACGGGCAGTATCAAGGATAGTTAAAACAGCAGTGAGACCCTGGGCCAGTCATACTCCCCCTTAAGGGCTCGGCAAAGAGTTGGGGGGGGGTCGGTATTTTTAAACCTGAGCCTGGCTGCCGGCTGGCCCACTTAGTGCCCTCCCCGGCTCCGCCACGGTCTCGCAGCCTTCCTCAGCCGAGCGAGGCTCGGTCGGCTGTAACCTCCCAGCTGGGCGCCCAGAGGCCCGCAGCCCCAGGTGCGCGCGGCCGCCCGGGCCCGCCCACCGCCGTCACGCGCGGCCTCAGCTCCGTCCCCGTTCGCTCCGCCCCGGCAGCGCCGCACTGCCGCCGCGTGGGGCGGGCTTGGCGGCTCAGGCCCAGAGTCCTCCCGGCCTCGCGCCCCTATGTAAGGCCAGTCGCTTCGGTAGGGCCGCAGCGGCGGCGGGTGCTCACGAGCCTTTTCAGTCGGCGGGCCATCCCCTGGTCCGTCCTCTGTCGGCCCACGGTGAGTACCCGCCGCGCACGCGCACAGCCCCCCGCCCCCCGCCCCAGCGTCCCGCCTCCGCGCGCCTCCGCGTCCTCCGACCTCCAGCCGCGCGCCGCGGGCAGCTGAGAGCGGCATGCGGGACTACGACGAGGTGACCGCCTTCCTGGGCGAGTGGGGGCCCTTCCAGCGCCTCATCTTCTTTCTGCTCAGCGCCAGCATCATCCCCAACGGTTTCAACGGCCTGTCGGCCGTGTTCCTGACGGCGACGCCAGAGCACCGCTGCCGGGTGCCGGACACCGCGAACCTGAGCCTCGCTTGGCGCAACCACAGTCTCCCGCTGCGGCTGCAGGACGGCCGCGAGGTGCCTCACAGCTGCCGGCGCTACCGGCTCGCGACGATCGTCAACTTCTCGGCGCTCGGGCTGGAGCCGGTGCGCGACGTGGACTTGGAGCAGCTGGAGCAGGAGAGCTGCCTGGATGGCTGGGAGTTCAGCCAGGACATCTACCTGTCGACCATCGTGACTGAGGTGGGTACCACTTCCACTCCAGGGCCTGGGTCCGGGGCATAGGGGGGACTCTTGCAATAGTTAAGGTCGCGCACTGCCCCCGCCAAAGTAAGCGCTGGAAGCTGTCACTCCCAATTCGCCCGACTCACTACACACTAATGATGGGCATCTTCCAGCCAGGTGGCTTGAGAGCACTTTTCGAGGTGCTTTTGACTTCCAGCCGGATCATGCCCATCGCAGCACAGATGTCAGGCTGCACACTCATTTTGTTAGCTACTTTGGAGAGGAAGCCAAGGAGACCCTGTAGATTTCTGGTAGATGCTCTAAGATTCTGAGTAGTCAAAGACCTACTCTAAATGGGAGTGGGATTGCTGAGAACCAGAGCTATAATTTGAGCCAACGGGCTGTCACCGTTTTTCCTCCAGCCTCTTGGCATCTGTTTGGAGAGAGAAGAAATAGCCCGTCTACTTTCTTGAACTTTTGAAGTTAAAGCAAGCATGTTTCTTGCTCCTTTTCCCAGTTACTCCTTCCCCACCCACTCTAACCCCAAAATGACTGTCTGGTCATATGTTATAAGAAATTGTTTATCTTTTGCTCATGGTTAGTTAGCCTTTTAGGATTCATGCATCTGAAGATCCATTCAGGATGACTTCTTAACCTGAAATGTTTAAGGGTATTCTAAGGAAATGTCTTTGGCCAAATCTGATTAAGGTATACAACCTTAGTAAGAACCTGAGTTGGGGTGGAGGGAGACCTTTCTCATTCCCTGGCCCCTTGGATTTTCCTTTAGGGTGGCCTTTTCTGTCCCCTGGTGACCTTGCAGTCATTAAATCTGGATGTATGACATGATGTTCATGGATGTGAGTGGATGTGCTTTGCATCTTACTCAGGCACTGGTACTCCCTGTAGTCTCAGCAGAACTGAGCAAGCAGGACATTGAAAAGAGCCCTCTTTTACAGGTTCCAGAATACCCAGGTTCACTGAGTGTCAGGATCAGGGGTTCAAAGATTAGGGAACGCTTCTTGGAGAAGGAGGCCTCTCGGTGAGTCAGGGGTGTTAGCTCAGCAAGATGCAAAGTCTGGAATAGCAAGAAATAACCTAGCCGGAGGGCAGAGTTCACAGGGAAGGGGCTGAACAGGAGAGTGAACAGATCTTGGTATGGCATCAAACCCCACTCAAGTCTCAAAGAGGCTTACATGGGTCCTGGAAACCCTGCTTGTGTTGCTTCTGGAGGTTGTCACCCTTCAATGGAATGTGAGCGCTGCCCCAAGAGACATGTGTGTGTGTGTGTGTGTGTGTGTGTGTGTGTGTGTGTGTGTGTTGGTGTTTGTATGTTTGGACGTTTGATGTCCTCAGCATTGGTGCCTCTTTGCTCCACATATAGGTAGTAGGAGTGTGACAAGGGCCCCACTGTGATCTCTCAGCTAGTGACATAATTCCAGTGTCCTGAGGCATTGTTACTAGAGAAAAGAGGCACTGATTGGAGGTGGCTACTGTGCTTTGTGGCTAAAGAGTACACAGCGTATCAAAACTTCTAGTCATCACTAGTCCTTGGTCCTAGCCTCACAATCAAGTCTGTTACCCTACTAGAAGCCAGTGACAGTTGTGAAAGCAGGGGCCCCAGATTGCAGGCAGAGGCCACAGAGGGGAAGCCATACTCCATGACTCAGGAGTCCCTGCAGATTCTGCTTCTGGCTGCCCACGGAAGTGGGAGGCAGTGAAGTCAGAAGCAGCTAGTGGCTTCTGTTTGGATTTTCCTCTGACCCCGAGGGTCCCTGACTTACTGTAGTCATTTGCTCTTGCTTCGCTGCTCCCACCCTGCCTTCCACTGACAGTGGTGGTGGCACGGATGAGCTTCCAAAGGCTGACTGTTCCAGAAGGGTCCTTGAGCTTTGTTGCCCCCAATGTCAGCCTTTTCTTTTAAATATTTAGCCTATTTCTTTAGCTGTCTTAGCAGTTTCATAAGAGCTTTGTGCCCTTTCACCTACTTACAGGTTGTCAGTCTTTTCAGGAAGGCAAGATTAATACATTACTTAGCCCTTTGTTTGGAGATGGTGGAATGCAACTTCAAGGCTGCTTATTCCTCTCTGGTGAATGGTCACTGTTGGAAGCTGTTGCATTAACTTTCTGATGGCTCTGTCTGTCTAAGGTCCATTTTCTTTCAAACCAGACCTGGCCTGCTGAGCACTATAGCTAGTCCTGTGCTTGCTAAGTATCTCCAAGCCTGCCCTCTGCCCCAAATCAGACATAGAGGTATTTGTAAATACTCTGGTATCGAGTTCCTATTCATGTCTTTCAACAAGATGAAACCCTCAGGTCTCCTGCTTGATTTTTTTTTTCTTTGTTGAAGTTAAGGTGTGCACATGTAGTACTAAACTTTGTGGTAGATTTACATCTTTGTATCTACCGTAAGTCCTGACCTTGATGTTGGATACAGATGGTGTTACTCAGGAAAATTTTTGTTGAATGGATTAACGAACAATTTAGAAATCTTCTCTAAAGTGAAGATGAAAAGGACAAGTTTAATTCATAGAAAGGAAACTTGGGGGTAATTGAAAATCATTGACGGAAGTATTTTAAAGGAAAGGTAACATCCCCCCAGCCCTGAACTGGGGCTTGTGCCTGTATGACTCTGCAACAAGGCATTGGGCCTGGCAGAAAGAAGGGGACACTATTAATGAGATGAAAGAGGTGGTTCTCCCATGTTTCAGGAATAGTTTGGTGGTTCACGTGCTCCTCGGCTGGCCCGTTCTCTGGCCCCTCAGTCATTGTGGAGTGCTGGAGAGTCAGCCACCACCACCTTGCAGTGCCGCAGATCCCTGAGTGCTTCTGCTTCTTGGCCCAGGACTGCATACTTCTCTGGGAACCCGGGTGATTTCTCAGGCTGCCTGGGCTGCCTGCTTTTTGTGTCTCCATAGCACAGCCTGTGGCCAGAAAGATTCCTTAAGAAGCTTCTAGATCTTCTGGCACCCGTGAGTTGGGGTCTCAGCCAAGACCAGGCAGTCCTCTGCATCCCCTTGCTCCCTGCCAGTCTCCACTTCCCGGAACCCCCCTGCCCCACCTTTGGCAGCACTCTTGCTCCCTTTTGTCCTGGAAAGCCTCTTTTTCTGGACCATCTTTTCCCTCAGCCTTGTCTTACTCTTGAATAGTCTTGGAAGATAGGAGAGTCCCCACAGTTACCTCCAAGTCGACCTGAAGAAAAAGCCATGTCAGCCCAGGAGGAAGTCCCTGGGCTGACTCTGAGGTGGGGACACCAGAGACCTGGAACTTGTGCCTCACTGCTATGCCTTTATTGACCTCTCTCACCCTAGGGAAGTACCGACCCTTATCTCTGCCTTTGTAGCTCATGGCAAGCCACTTGCTGGGTCCCCATGAACGTGCAGTCACAACAGACACATCTGGTCATGAGATTGATCCTCTCTCTAACTACCTGAGAACTGACACCCTGAGTCAAAGTTCTGACAGCTGACACAGAGAAGGGGGTGAGAGAGGAAGCAAAATTTTCTGTTCTAGAGATTGAAGTACAGAGTCCATCTGGGCTTTGGGCCTCCAAGCCCAAGGACTAAGCCCAAGGGGTACTATGGTTTTTCATTCATCATTCACTCACTCACCTAGGTACCATACAGCTACTGAGCCTCTCCTCCGCAGGGCACTGCCAGGCATTGTAGAGGATATGGTAGCAAATACTTCTCCTTTCCCTGATAGCCTTGGACCAAGGATTTGCCGTTAATTGCAGCAGGAGACAGGATGAAATGTGTCTAGGAATACATGGCTTTCAGTAACAGGTAGTGCTTACCAGTGTATTTGACCATTGATGCGGTCAGGCTAGGTACATCTCATGGAAGAGCTTCTGCCCTATGGGCACAGACCCTATCTCTTTTTCCTTCCAGCCAACTCACAGGTCAGAACATTTAGTCTCAGGAAACTGCATCATCTCTCTACTTCATGTAACTGAGAAGCAGCACCAATGACATTCTGCATACAAGAGACACGATTCTCTGTCTTCTTAAAAATTTTAACAGCTTTATTAAGGTATAAATGACATAAAATAAACTGCACATAACTAAAGTGTGTAGTTTGAAAAGCTTTATGTAGGATGTGAGGGTGATCTGGCTGCAACATCTGTCACCGCATTGATTGCCAGGGTTGAAAAGCTTTATGTATACATATGAATATATCTCTCCATGGAGCCATGGCCACTAGAAAGACACATATCTGACCAGGATGGGTGGCCAGTCTATGCCCCTTGCTTGCCAGGGTTACTCTCAGATTTTTTTCAGTGTGTGCGTGGTTTCACAGCTCACCTAGCTGAGGGGTAATGATGCTAGACTCATAACCCAAATCTTAAACCCACGTATTCAGTTCTAACGTTGGTCTTCAGCCAGTACAGCCCATCCTACTTACCAAGTGGAGGCATCAGTGAGCTAGTCGGTAGCTGCTTTTTAGTCTTGGCTGAGGAGCCAGGAAGTCAGTGTAAGGAATACTCGATTCTTCTGTAAACACAACAAGCCCAGGCTACATAGCCTGGACTCATGGGCTTCTCATCCCACCCTTCCTAAAGAGGATTCAGGGCTCACTGCAGTCCATCTGGTGGTTGACAGGTAAGTGGATGGGTTGGCTGGGTGGGACCTAGTCTGTGCCTGCCCTTCTGTTCATTTTTTAAGACCTATTACCTTTCCTGATGCTACTTACAGGCCCCTTGTGGCCAGTAGGAAGGAAGGATTAACCCATTCTTGCTTTTGGAGGGCCCAAAGTGAGGCCCTGAGAATTGCTAAAAACTGTCAGTGGTAGATAGAGAGCCCAGTTACTTCAGGGAGTAACACACTTGCCCAGAATATGGATGGGCTGGACCCGGTGGTCAGGGTGAGGCTGCAGGGACCAGAGATGTTCTGGGGACCTATCCTAAGGTGAGCACTACAGTTATCTTCTCTCCTGCAGAGCGTAGTCTGACTTGGTTCCAGGTAACATTTGGCCTTGCCAGTTCAGAACTCCCTAGAAGCCTATATTGGGAGACCTGACATGGGGTAGAGGTGGGGCGGGGGAGGTTTCACCCCAGAACTCATTGTAGAAGTCTCTATGGATTTCTAGTCTAACTCAGCTGTTAGCCCCCAGTCCTCATGAGAGACCTACTGAGAAGCAGCTACTGTCTATTCATTTTTTTAAATCTCTCTATCTACAAAAGCAGTGCATGCTAGCTGGGAATAGATAGCATCACATTCAAGAGTGGCAGTAGCCATAATCTGGCTGTGAAGCTCTTCCTCACACCCAGGGGCTGACGCCCCATCATTGAGTCCCCTGCCACTTCCATCCTGACGTCAGCAGCCATGTCTGGACTCACCCTGCTAGAAGAGAGATGGTATCTGGGGGCTGGCACCACTGCGGCTCCAGAGGTGGGAAGGCTGTAGACCTTGGTGCTCCTTGCTTGCCTCCTGCTGGTCTGGGCTTCCTCTAGATTTAGGAGTTGGCGACCCACAACTCTTCCCTGGGGTGGGGATCACCACCCCATTCTCAGTCCATCCAAGGTGCATACTTGCTCCAGAGTGGAGAGCCAGCTGTGTGGCTCAGTGATCCTTATCATCAGCTGCGGGGGTTCTGCATGTCCACCCTGAGGGCTGCCCTCTGACCCCTCTGAGATGCCTGGAGGCTGTGTGCACACACTGCCCAGCAGGGCTGAGAAGCACACTTGCTTTTCCCACTGTCCCTGCCTGGAAGAGATGCTTTGTTCTTGGAAGCCGCACATTCTCCGGGAGTGGGCGGGCTCCACAGAGGGCAGGCCAGCAGCCTGGCACCAGGCAAGCAAGGGTCTAAATTCCCTAGAAGGTGGCCTTGTTGGTTACTACTGAGCACCACCTCTGTGTTCTGGAAAACATTTTTCTGGGAACCACCAAGCTTCCTGTTTTGGTTTTTCTTCCTTCTTTCAGCCCTTGTTAGGCTGGGGCGACCTAATGTCTTGAGTGTTCAGGTCCCTGTGCCCACAGACCTCTTTCCATGGTAACTGTAGATGGAACTCTGCATTGGATGCTGGGAAATTCAAGCACCATAGCCTGTTCCCTACCCTAGTCCCTGTTTCGCAAATGGGGAAATTAAGGCACAATGAGGTGGAAAATCTTGTCCCAAATCTTGTAACCAGTTAATAGTAGAGTAGAAAGTAAAACCCAGTTTCTTAGCTCCTAACTCAGAGCTCTTGGCTGTAGTTGGGCCTAGTGCTGGCGTAGCATCAGGGATCCCAGCTCTAAATGTCAGCAGAAGGACCCAGGGGTCATTGCCCAGTGCTGGATCCTGAGCAGAGCTGGAGGAACAGATCCAGAAGGTACAACCAGGCCCTCTGGCCTCAGGCCCTCGCTAGATGCTTTGACTATTAGGGCCCCAGAGCCCTGCTCTGGAACCACTCCTGTGCCACCCCTGCCAGTGGCCTGAACCCCACTGAAAGGGAGCCCTGCCCCATCCACAGTCCTGGGCTTGGCCCAGATCCTCAGAAGCGACCATGTGAGGCCTCGCCTCCTCCTGGGTTGGCACGTGGGCAGAGAGTACTTGCTCCGTGCCTGTCTCCCCTCCTCAAATTGGTAGCAAGACAGTGGGGCTAAAAGCTGTGAACAACAGGATGGTGAGGGAGGCCACTCACCCTGTGAGGGGAAAGCTGCTCTCTGCCTGGCTACCTCACGAGCTGTCACCTGCCTCAGTGAGCTCACACATCTTTGTGGTCGTGGAAACAGAGGCAGTGATGCAGGATGTTCTGATGTCATCTTCCAAGAAGTCTCACATTTAAAACATTTTTAAAAAAGAAATGAGTGATACATCCCTTTGCTCCTCTTTCAGTGGAACCTGGTGTGTGAGGACGACTGGAAGGCCCCGCTCACGATCTCCTTGTTTTTTGTGGGTGTGCTGATGGGCTCCTTCATTTCGGGGCAGCTCTCAGACAGGTAAGGTGGGTGTCTGTCTCCTGCAGCTGCAGGGGGCCCAGCACTGAGCAAGGTAGTATTCTCTCAGCCCAGGGCCTTGTGTTTTAAAAAGTGGAAGCCACATCTACAGCACAGACTCCAGACCAAGTAAAGAGAGTCAGCGCCCCCTCCCCGCTGCTTGCCGAGCACAGCCTCAGCCGAGCATGCCCACGGTCCAGCTGACCAGGAGACAGACCATGGTTCCCTTCTGCGCTGCCTGGTTGGCCTTCCTTAGGTTAGAGTGACTCTTGCATGTCTTCAAACGTAGGAGAGGTAGACACCACACACACGTGCACGTGAGCTCGATTGTAGGTCTTAAGGCATTCCACGGATGGCCGCTTCTGTGTCCCCAGAACCATTGCTCTCTCCTCGAGGGGAGAGGAGATCTCACTAGCCAGTAGCAGTGTGATGGGCAGAACTCCTGTGTCCACAGGGCTGATTCCCTTTAGCTGAGAGGCCTGTGGTTATGGCACTTTGCAGTGAGCAGGAAGTGTGCTGCTTTAACCCGTAAGCAGATTATTTGTGTAATTCCAAGGCTGTTAACTCACGGTCCATTCGTGGTTTAGGGAGTTCATCTACTCTGAAAAGTACATGTAAAATTTTAGAGATTGTATGTGAGCATTTTTCTGAAGAAAGGTCTACAGTTTCCACGAAGTCCTCAGAGGGGTTTATTATATTGTGTCTTTCTACCCCAGGGCTTCAAGATCTGTGGGAGAAGCCCATGGTGAGGAGAGCAGCCTTCAACAAGGTCCTTGGCCACACTGGGTCACCCGCTGGAGAGGAGTCCCAGCATCCTCCCAGCTTGGGGAAGTCTTTTATAGGGAAGTTCGGGATGAGAATGTCATCCTGCCCTAAGAACATAGCCATTTTATCCTGTGGCACACACACAGAGGGATGTTTTGGCATGTTTGCATCTATGAACTAATGTCTTCACCTGGAAGAAATCTTTCCTCATAAGAAATATGTGCACTTCTCACTAGATTTGTCCTTTCCAGAGTGTCACCTAGTTATTTTAAAAAGATGCAAATTCCTCCAGTCACCAGTGAGCATTAAAGAGTTAAGAAGGCCATGACCACTGATTGAAGATTCTCAATGAGCCTGAGACACTGACCCGTTTAAGGGAAAGGCCTTTGCTTCCCCAGGCCCTTAGCCAAGCAGCAACCATCAGCTGATTACTCATATTTATTTAACAAACACTGAGCGCCTCATGTGTGCCATTCACTCTTATGAGCACTGTACCAATAAAAAAACAACAAATAGTTTAATCTTCATAATCCTATGAAGTAGAAAATATTATTTGCATTTTACAGATGGGAAAAATGAAACCCAGAGGAATTAGATGTCACACAGCTGACAAGTGGCAGAGCTAAGATTCAGGCCCAGAGTCCTGAACCTCTGTTTGGTATGAACTACTGTTCTAGGGCCCTGTAGTTCTCCTAGAACTTGCCTTCCAGCAAGACAGAACATATTAAACAACGAGTTGAGGAGAAGTACAAGGGGCCCAGAGAGGGTCTGACAGAGGAGGCCGCGAGAGGCTGCCCTGAGACGGTGAGGCATGTGCTGGGGATTGGAAGATATGTAGAAATTATTTAGCTAATGGGGTGGAGAGAGGAAAGAGCATTCTGGACAGAGAGAGCCACATGTCCTTAGGCCTAGACTCAAGAAAAGGTATAGCACACTTGAGGGGCCGGAAGAAATTCCTCTGGCGCGGTGTGGAGAGCGGCACAGAGATGAGGCAGCGAGGTGGGCTGAGGCCCATGCAGCAGCACAGCAGGCCGGGCTCAGCGGACGACAGGTTGGGGTCTGGGCTTTAGTCACAGAGCAAGGAGGGCCGTGGAGAGTGTGACATAGTCAGATTTTGCATTTTTAACAAGATTGTTTGATAGCTTTGTGGAGAAAGGCTTGAAAGGAAGCAAGAGGGATTATGGAAAGACCAATTAAGAGGTTATCACAATAATTTATGCAGGAAATGATGGTGGCTTACTAGGCTGAGGGCAGTAGAAACGGAGAGGAGTGGTAGGATGTAAAATTAACAGGACTTGGCTCTGGGCTGGATGCAGGAAGTGAGGGGAGGAAGACTGGCCCGCACAACCAGGTAGATGACGATACCTTCTCTAAGACAGAGCACTCTGGCGGAGGACCATGTTTGCAGAAGGAGATGTTCAGTTTAATTTGAACATACCAAATTTGGGGTGACGGTGAGACTTAGGGATCTCAGGGGGAAATGAATATGGAGGTGGATGTATGGATATGGTACCCATGAAAGGTTTGGGCTAGAGAAACACATTTGGGAATTGTCAGCTCATAGAACCCTTATCGAAGCCCCACGGGTGGATGAAACTGCCTGGGGACAGTGTAGAGTCAGAAGAGGCCGTGCCCTGAACTGAGCTGAGAGGTCCTCCTAGAGGGATGGCGGGAATTCTCTCACAGGGTTGGGTGGCAGCTGAGACTCAGAGGAATTACCTCGATGTGAGCAAAACTAGGAGGAGGTACCCCAGTTTCAGTGCTGAAACTCAGGGCATTTTTCTGGGTCAGCTGTGTCCTGGGTTAGGTGGATCTTGGTGGGCTAGCCTCAGAACCTGATGACCATAGAACACCATGATTACCTGAGCAAAGAACTGACGTTCCAAGAGATCTGCTCCCAAGGAAACAGTAGAAACAAAATTAATGAGTAACTTGAGAACCACCTTAGTCTTCAGAAGGGCTAGTACAGTGTTTTTGAAACCTTTGAACATTTTTTTTTCCAGCAGACTTAAGTAGGATCATTTAAGTCTAGTAAATCAAATAGCCAAAAGTGTGGCTGTTCTGGCTACAGGCCCTGCCTTCAGCTCCCAACACCACCCATCAGGCTCATTAAGCACCCTGCTCGAAGGCCCAAGGCTCTGTGGAATGAACAGTTTACTCCCAACTGAGCCAGCTCAAAAATCCAAGCCAAACAAATTACCTAAGAGCAATGGATTCATGCCTTCCATTGTTGTCTTTAATACCAACAGTAATTTTTTATATAGGACTGCTTTCTGGCATATGAATAAGCCTGAAATTCAAGAGCAATTAAATTAATCCTGTGTGGTCAGAGGAATTTTATCTGACACTATGTGCAGAATTACAAGAGAGCCACACCCCTGGGAAGCAGCAGCTGATATTTCCTGTTTTTGTAGACATGTGTGTATGTTTGATCTTTTGTTGACAGACTTTAAAAGTGAGCATTTCTGATCCCAACCCCAGATTGTCAAGGACTGGTGCTGTGTAAGGGTTCCCTGAGTCTTTGTCTTCCCTGCCATCCCAGGGAGCCCTCAGGAAGGGACGCTGGGTAGGAAGGGACTGCCCCTTGGTTGGCATGTAGAGCGCTATTGCTACAGAACAGTGTGGGGGAAATCAGAGTCTCCTAGGCCAGGGCTTCTCAAGCTTGGCACTGCTGACGTTTTGAGCTAGAGAATCGTTTGTTGTGAGGGCTCTCCTGGGCATCTTAGGATGTTTAGAACATCTCTGGCCTGTGTCTACTGAATGCTAGCAATGCCAAAAAAATAAAGCAAAAAACCCTGTGTAGTGGGGAGAAGCAGCTTTACCATGGCTGAAGGACTTGTGCAGTCTGCCTGCTTCACACCTCTGCAGTCTTCTATTGAACAGCCAGCCTCGATGGCCCTCACCTTCATCATACCCTTCCAGCCACAGTTGTGTGTGCTCTTCTCGCAGTCTGAAGCATTCTCCACCCCATCCCTGTGCCTCGGCCTTCCTTTACCACGCAGGCTACCTCAGGGTCCCCAGTGTACGTTACCCTGGTTCCTTGTGCCTTGCCTTCATAGCACCTAATCAGAAATTGGTAAATGGAAAGTATTACCATATGATTAATGTTGGTGTCCCCCACTCTACTGTGAATATCGTGGAAAGCTTGGTCTTTCTCCCCACTCCCCTTTGTCAACAATTACTTTATCTTTGGGCCTCATCTCAGTGCCCCATCATCAAGGGAAACCCTCTCTGAATGCCCATGTCCCCAGCCCCTACCTCCAGTCCAGCATAGGTTCCTCTGTTGTGTCCCTTGTGGACTAGGGCGCTGGTCCTTCAGTGCACTTGTTTCAGTGTGTAATTGTACATTCAGTAGTGTGGTTGTCTGATTAAAATGCGATTACTGTCTGTCTTACCAACTATAGACTATAAGTTCCTTGAGGGAAGAAATGGTGTCTTTTTCAATCCAAATACGTCTCTAGTGACTAGTATATAATAGAGGTTCAAATAAATTTTTATTGAATGAAAATGAATATTGCCAGCCCTGGCCAGACACAAGCTGAATCTGCTAGGTTGAATTAACTAGGTTGACTTGTTCTTTCCTATTGAGGTAATGTCTTTAAAACCCAACAAACCTAAAAGACCCAACATTTTTTTAAATTTTAAAATGAACACAGTCATAGAAAACTCACAGAACAAATGTGGCTTAATGAATTATTCCAGGGAAATAACCTTGTAAGTACCACCAAGTCAGGAAATAGAACACTGCTGGACGCCAAGAAGCTCTATCCATCTGTCCCCCCAAAAGACAACAGCCTGCCTCCCCTATAAGTAACCACTAGCCTGACTTTTATAATAATCACTTTCCTCTGGGTTTTGTGTAGTTTCATCATCCAAGTATGCATCCTTAAACACAAGTTTAGTGCTGGCCACTTAAGACATTTTTCAATGTCTTTTAGCCTGCTTTAATCTAGGGATTCTCCATCCTTTTCTTTGCCTGGGCTGTTCCTCCTGTAGAATTTCCTCCAGTGTGAATCTTGCTGATTGCGTACTCATGGAATAGTTTAGCATATTCCCCTTTTCTCTACATTTCTGGCAAACTGCAGCTGGATCTAGAGCGTGGATCAGATTCAGATTCAGCTCCTTTGGCAAGACTGCAGGAGTTACAATGTTCAAGTGTCTTTTTATGATAGCAGTCATTGAAACATAATGCCCATATCTGTTTACTCTTTGGGGATTATCAAATGGTGATGTCCTAATTTTATCACTTTGTTTTCATTTAATAGTTGGAATACTATTATAAAATGATAATTCCCCTTATCTGTTACTGCTTACTGTTCACCTAGTTTTCATAGGAAAGTCAAGACAAATGTTTTTCCCTTTATTTATCAGTTTTTATTTATAGTGAATTATTATTTCTCCATCATCCTCTGAAGTAAATGGTTGTTTTAAAAACAATAAATTATGAATGTATTATTTAAGCATAATGAATGTGTTTCAACCCCTTGTAATCATTTTCTTAATTCTGGCATTGCCTTTTGGGCAACCTTGGTACCTAGGCTGCACATTTGTCCTGAGGAGCAGTGGGGGGAGTAACAGCTAAGGCACTGAGAGGCCAGGATTGTCCCTGCACCAGGCACCCTGGCAGCACTGTCCATGACCTCTCCCTGAATTACTTGGGACAGCCTCTCTTGGTGGAGCCCATTCCTGCTGCTTTGCCCCAGCTGGTTCTCTTTTATTCTCCTTTCCTTCCTAGGTTTGGTCGGAAGAACGTGCTGTTTGTGACCATGGGCATGCAGACAGGCTTCAGCTTCCTGCAGATCTTCTCGAAGAACTTTGAGATGTTTGCTGTGCTGTTTTTCCTTGTAGGCATGGGCCAGATCTCCAACTATGTGGCAGCATTTGTCCTGGGTATGGCCATCAAGTTGGAGTTGAGTACTTAATCCTCTGTTTCTCCATCATCTCGGCACCCACTTTCTGGAGACAGCTGTAATGTCCCTCCAGGGGAAGTGGTCTCTTGCAACACTTACCAGGATGTGAACCCAGTTTGTAGGCAGGGACAGAGTCCACCAAGTGCCCAGCCTTGGGTCCCCAGCAGCACAATAACCTGAGCACTGAATTCCAGTTCTTTTCTGGCCTCTGAGGTGTGGCACCTTGGTCTCATTATGTAATGTCTCTGGTAAAATGATGCCATTTTACTAAAACCCACCCAAGACCATTCGTTAAAAATAGGGCCTGCACTGCCCAGAGTTGAGGTAGCAGAGGGAGACGTGACATGAGGAGCAAGGGCCTTGATTGGGAGGCTCGCCAAGGAGGAAAACTGCCTCTCCTGCAAAACATAGTAGCCAGTGAAGTCTACTGGCAAGAATAAATTGATAGGAGTAGTCTAGTCTAGGTCTAGTCATGTGACCTTGAGAGTTTTAATTCAGAGTCCACACTGCAGGTTTGTCCTCACTGAAAAGTTGCCAGTCTCACTGTTCAGAGGAATCTAACTCTAGCTTATTTGTCTTGGGTTTCCTTGGGTTGATTGTTGAAAGGATTATGTCTTTCTCTTAACATTTAATAGAATATTTTTAAATGTAACAGTCAGCATGTGTGGCCTTAATAATAACTCCCCCTTTAATGAACTCTTCCTCACGTGAAGATTACATTTTGAGGCCTGATGTAGCATCTTCAGTGTAAGGCTTCGGGAAGTGATGACAGTTTCAGGAGAGAACTGTTGCTAAGGACCATCCCCCAGCAGATGGTCCAAATCCCATCCCTCCCTAGGGTTTGGAAACTTTGAGGTAATTCTGCCTGCTTTCTTATCTGCACATTGAAAATTATGCAATAGAAGATTAGTAAGGAAATAACTTGAATTAAAATACTAACATGACTCCTCCCTTGTTTTGAACAGGAACAGAAATTCTTGGCAAGTCAGTTCGTATTATATTCTCTACGTTAGGAGTGTGCATATTTTATGCATTTGGCTACATGCTGCTGCCACTGTTTGCTTACTTCATCAGAGACTGGCGGATGCTGCTGCTGGCGCTGACTGTGCCGGGGGTGCTGTGCGTGGTGCTTTGGTGGTGAGTGGTGCCCACCAGCAGGATGTCTTCTGTCTGGCTGTTACTAGAGGGCAGCAGCAACCCACAAATCCCCATCTGGGCTCCCAGAGACAGAAGTCTAAACTACTTACTAAGTTTTAAAAACGTGTTTTTTCCATACTCAGAAAAGCCAAAAACAAAACAAAACAGCCCCAGGACATCAACAGACTTGTCCTCAGCTCTGTACTGGGTTGATCAGAGTTCAAGGAGAGGAGGAAGCGGTAGCTGTGAGACGATGGGTTCTAGCACGACCTCCCAGAAGCTATGGGACTGCAGGACAGGACACCTGAGACCCCGGCTCCAGTTGTGTGTTGCCAAGGCCCTATTGGGAGAATAGGGAGCACGTTGTAAGCAAGAGTCTCAGGGAAGCTGGACAGAGGAAGCCAGGCCCCATGTGAGCCTCCAAGATAGAGGAATTGGACAGGCAGAGAGCAGGCCACTCTGTACCAACAGAGAGAGCACAGCCGAGGGGCTAAGGTGGGAATTGCTCCTCGCAGGTGGGGATGGTGAGAGCACATCACACGGTTGTGAGAGCATTCCAGAATATGGTGGGAGAAGATACAGAGCACAGCATGAGTCCTGGCTGTGACTGAAGGGCAGGGGCTACTTAAGAGGTAGAAAATAAGATCCACAGTTCTCAAAGCAGCCAAGTCCCTTGGTAAACATAGGCAGATTCCGGCAAGTCAGTTGGATGAATCAGGGGTAGGTGGGCGAGGAAAAACTAGAGGCTGAGAGGCCAGTGCAGAATCTTCTGTGGCTGCCCAGGACAAGCAGGGGAGTACAGCAAGGTAAGGGTCTGGGATGGGCTGAGCCCCCCAACAGAAATCAGGCTTCCAGAGCCCACCTTGCGTCTGCTACTTCGTGGCCAGCAGGTGGCACCACTACTCTTCAGAAATGGAGGTGGCCAGCCAGTGGCAGAATCCCATCATGGGGTGCTGGCCCCTCTAACTTTTGTGTACTCCCCTGTAATCAGAAGCTTACACTTCAGGTCATTACTGGATGTAGTATGGTGCATCTCTACTTCTGGCTCTGAAACACCAAAACATTCCCCAAACCTAGCTCTGGTTCCGAAACCCCATTTCCCACCTCTAGTTATGCCCCACCTGGTCTCTTGGGCAGGAAGGCCCCAGTAAGATCGCTCCTGTACTTCCAGGTTCATCCCTGAGTCACCCCGATGGCTCATCTCTCAGGGACGATTTAAAGAGGCAGAGGTGATCATCCGCAGGGCTGCCCGAATCAACGGGATTGTTGCACCCTCAACCATCTTTGACTCAAGTGAGGTGAGCACTGTGTGGGAGCTGGTGGTAGGGTCTCAGTGACCATGATTTTAGGGTAGCACCACACAGCCCTGAAGCCCTCCCTTCACACAGGAGCCCAGCCTTCTCCCTGCCCAAGCCCCAGCTGCCCCCATGGCAGGCCCTGTTAAAATCAAAATTGAGGAGAAGGTGCCAGCTGCCTAAATTCCCTTCAACTTTCCCATGGATTTTAGGTTTTCATACTCTACATAAGTCTTTTCTAGATGATTATACAGTTGAACCATTACTTCTAATAATAATAACTTTTTATGAGTAATAGGCCTTTCCTAAAGTTAGCATTCTGGGAAATCAAGGTTTCTTACAAGGTAGTTTCTCATCTTAAAAACTAATGCAGCACCTAAAATACGAAGCAAAAATAGATTTGGAGTTAGAAATGTTCCGTCTCCTTCCGCCCACCAATGGGGAGTTGTTGAGTATTGTCTTGGAGCCAAGCCCTTTTTGATATCTGCCACCACCCCTCCCTGCAAACTCTGTTCTCACACGCCATGAGGAATTTCCTGGCTCTGCCTGATTCCTGGGTCTTGCTTCTCCTTCCTGTTACCTCTTTCCACCCTCTCTGCAGCAAGTGGTCTTCCTCAGTCTCATAACTACGAGAAGAGGTTAGAAGTTGTCATTACTGGCTGATGGGGTTCTGAAGTGCCTCTGCTCTGACAGGAAGACAAGGGACTGGCTGTGAGAACAGCCACCAGCAGTCACACTGCAGGGCGTGCGCAGGCTTGTTAGGGTCGCTCAGGGCTCCAGATGCAGACTTGGGGCTTGGGAAAGACAGACCAGTTATTATAGGCAGCAGAGAAGCTGCTGACCACTGACAGCCTTGCCAGCCTCACAGTTAAGGGGTGGCCCAGCACCAAATCCCACTCAGCATGTCCTAGAAAGGGCTCTGGGGCACAAAGTTCAGGGAGGAGTAGATGGAGGGAGGGCCTTTAAGTGAGGTGGCCTTGGTAGCTTCGCAGGGGTCAATCTGGGTGAACCCATAAGTCCCATTGGCATCTTTGTGGAAATGAGGCTATTTCAGGGGATCCATTAAGTCAAAAATTGACCTTTTGTTGAACTGCTAACTCGGGAAAAACAAACTCCAAAGCTGGGTTTGCTTAAGAAAGCAACATCAGTGTGTTTAGACGTGTGGTTTATTAATGTCCTTGGCTGTGCCAAATTTCAAAGGAAGTTACTCTGGGTGAAGCTGAGGTCAATTTTCCTGTTTTTCTGTCAGAAATTTTTTTCCTTGGAAATAGACCAGTAACTACATGGTATAAGGGCTGAAAACATTAATTCTTTTAAAATACCATATCAGTAAACTACACAGCCAGTTTCTCTCTCTGACCCAGAGGGCTGGGAGCCAGCCTTGGGAAGGAATGCTCAGAGGCCTCCCTGGAATGTAGCCACTGAGAGGCTGGGGGTGGTGCCGGGAGGGAGCAGTCAGCCTGAGCCTCTTCGTCGGCCGAATTGCCCAAGGGACTAGTCACCTCTCTTCTTCCTCATTCTTGTCTACTAATTTGTTATCGACAAGGCTTGGGGAAGCCTTCTGCAGCCCAGGGTATAGTCACTATACTCACTCTTCTTTTCGAGCAAGAAACGTAAAACACCCCCATCTCAGAGACACCGAAAGCAAAGATGCTAGGGTTTCAAGTGTGTTATCCGGTCTCTGAGTCTCCAGCCTTCTCTCCCTCCCATACCCTTGTCATGTTGTTCCTGCAGCTGCAAGACCTAAGCTCCAAGAAGCAGCAGTCCCACAGCATCCTGGATCTGCTCCGAACCCGGAATATCCGGATAGTCACCATCATGTCCATAATCCTGTGGTGAGTAAGTGAGACCTACCCGAGGCCTCCAAACAAAGCTTCTGGCAGTGGCTGTCAGGCCTCTCATTTGCAGACATGTCTCAGACCAAAACTGACACATGCCTGTGTCATCCGAAAGCGGCAGGAATGTGCCTTGCAATGAAAGAAATGGGCATGTTACCATTCTTAACGGGATCTCAGAAGAGGAGAATGAAAACTGTTGTGGGGCTTTGGGGGGAGATATGGGATCTCTGGGGACCCCTCCAGGTCATGAGGTGAGTCTTGCTGACTTCGAGACCAGTTTAATTGTTCCTGTCCCCTGTGCATCAGTGAGGAGGACAGGTGAGGCCTTTAAGAAATTCTAAGTGAAGACACCATGTCCTTTCAGTTACAGAGGCTGCTAAGTACATTCTGGAAATGTGGAAGCAGGACATCTTCCCTCTAGGATGTTTGGAGACTGTCCTGGAGGCAGAGCCATGGCCTAGATGTCCTCATCAGATTCCTTCTAACGAGACATTTCACCAAGTGTGTCAGGGAGGGATTTGTGACTGACCAGAGAGAAGGAACACATCCGAGTGCCTGGATAGCGTTTGGTCAGTGGCCAGACCCTTGGGATTGCAGGTGACGACCTGAGCCTGCCTGCTAGGGGAGGTAGGCAGACTTCCTCTCAGAGTCAACAAGCCTTGGCAGCCAGCCGTTTTACTCACTTGGGGGTACGATGCATCACCCACTTTCAAGGAATGGCCTGGGATCCCTCAGGGCAGTACATCACCCCTGAGTCAGCCTGAAACAGGACCAGCATTCAGCCTGCACCACAGACTTGACAGCCCGTGGCATTCTGTAGTCACCTAGGCACTCCTCCTGCTCTGGATTTCCCAGGGACACCTGCACGTGCCCTTTGCCCTGATTGTACCAGCTGTGGTTTCAACCTGCAGATAACTTAGAAACAGTCTGATTCATTCAGGTCTGGTTGCCAAAGAGTGCTGACCATCAACAGAGAGAACACCTCCTGGGGACCAGGTGCAGGCCAGGGGCAGCAGGAGGCATGCAGACAGGAGACAACATGGCCCACTGGGGGCTCCCTCTCCTCCCCACAGTCCGGTGGGGTTGGGGTCAGCTGCTTCTGACAGGCCTCTTCTTGGCTGGTCGCCTGAGAGAGTCTGCCAGGAATCTATCTCCAAATGTTTGACTAATGATTGTTCTTTATTTTATCTTATCCCTCTGGTCTTATCACAGCCCATTGGTACCTGCCTCTTTCCTCGTTCCCTAGCTACTGCAGTTGTTAGATATGGGGAGATTCAGAGAGTAGGGAAGTAGGCTTTTGTGAGCACTTCAGCTTTGGATTTTTAAAGCCTAAAGGTAGGTTGGAGTTTTTTGGGTTCTGTTTTTCTTTTTTTTCCAACACAGTAAATCTGTCTGAATTATGTAAGTCTTTTTGCTGGGACACTTTGTTTGAAATGCTCTGAAAGAGCTCTGGCCCAGAAGGTACCCTGAGCTGGGGGAAGTTATCTTTCATTCTGAGAAGACTCAGGGTTAAATCTGCTGCCCTCCTGGTAAGGATAGTTTTGAATTTCCTGCAATAATTGTTTTTTAAAAGTCACCCAGCTTGGGAGGCACGTGAATGCCGCTTCTCCACCTTTCTTCTGCATTCTGTTTCAGGATGACCATATCAGTGGGCTATTTCGGGCTTTCCCTTGACACTCCTAACTTGCATGGAGACGTCTACTTGAACTGCTTCCTTTCGGCTGTGGTTGAAGTCCCGGCATATGTGTTGGCCTGGCTGCTGCTGCGGCACCTGCCCCGACGCTATTCCATGGCCACCGCCCTCTTCCTGGGCGGCGGCGTGCTTCTCTTTGTGCAGCTGGTGCCCCCAGGTAGGGAGCATACTCTTCTGCAGGCTAGAATATCCACTGAGTCACTCAATCCCTTCCAGACTGTCTGCCCGCAATTAATAAAGAGATAAAAGTCATGCCATCACAGCTCGCCTGCACATCTGCATTCTCAGCCAACAAATCAGGTGTCTCCTGGGACCAGACAGTCATCGTGGCCTGGGCTCTGGGGGAGGAGGGAGAGCAACCATGTGGGGCTGGTGGTTAATTTTCTCCCTACCCAAGTCAATCTGTGTGTATTTGTTTTTCTCTGTAGAGTGCAGGGGAGGAAAGAGAGCCATCCCTATGTCTTTTTAACATGGCCACATCTTAGCCATTCATTTATTCAATAAGTAGGTACTGAGTGTTTACTGTGGGTGAGGCACTCTGCCACTCTGCTTGGGGCTAAAGATGCAGAAATTAAGGAGTTGGACAGAGCCCCAGGCCCTCCTGGAGCTCACACTCCACTGGAGAAGACAGACAATAAACAAGTAAATAAAACGCTTATTATAGTACAAGCTGTGTTACCTTTTAAAGGACAGTGGAGAGCTTAGTTTATATATAGAGTGGTCACAGACAGTGCCCCTGAAGACGGGACAACTGAGCAGAAACAGATGGGATGATGGAGAAAGACATGAAGAAGGCTAGGAGCAGAACATTCCAGGCCAAGAAAACAGCAAAGGCAAAGACCCTGAGAAGGTGACGAGTCTGGCAAGTCTGAGGAGAAAGAGGGAGCTGGTAGGAGGTGAAGAGAAGGAGAAGAGAGGGGCCAGGCCCCATTGTGGCTCTCACAGGCTAGTACCAGGATTTTATTTATAAAATTGCCTTGCTATCCCATAGAAGGGTGGGAGGCAGCGCTCTTTGACAGTTCATAAAACGGTTTATGGACCTTCATGTCCATCATGGTACCCAGAGTTTCATGGATTTGGGGGCCTCTGGTGATCATTTGTGGTCCCTTGAGGCTGGCAACACTTTGCACAAGAACAGCCCCCACTGAAGCATTGACAGGAGCTCAGGAATGTATGTCGAGGTTCACTTTGGAGCTTTGGATGACCCACAAGCCACCCAGCGTGTCTCCATTGGCACAGCAGGCAGGAGAGATAGAAGGATCATTCCTGAGGGTCTGTTGGTCTTGAAATGTTGAGTAGAGTGCAAGCATGAAATGAGTCAGACTCCCCCTTCATCCACAGGTCACTGGTTGAGTCCACAGTACCTGCAATGTGAGGTTATGGGGTGCCAGCTGCCCCTCAGACAGACATGTCTTCAGGACTTCTGGACTGGAAAGCAGGCTTACTCTGGTGGTCTTTAGCCTGAGGAGAAGAGCATGTCCTGACACAGCTGCAGGTCCCAGCCTCCTCTCAGTATTCAGCGTGGAGGGACATCTTGTCTGTAGCCCTTTATCCTACAATAAGTAGTTTAAGAGACTATCCCCCCATGCCCATCAAGAAAAGGGAAAAAATATATATTTGTTTTAGGCAAAAAATTCTCAGTGGTTTGGTGCCTTCTCCTACCTTCTTCCCTTTACCTCTCCAGAATTGAATTCTTTGGCTATAGTCCTGGTGATGGTGGGCAAGTTTGGAGTCACTGCTGCCTTTGCCATGGTCTACGTGTACACAGCCGAGCTGTACCCGACAGTGGTCAGAAATATGGGAGTGGGAGTCAGCTCCACGGCGTCCCGCCTGGGCAGCATCCTGTCTCCCTATTTCATTTACCTTGGTAAGTCCCATGGGCCAAGTGCACGCAGGGGCGTTGGTGGAAGCACTGATTGGCTTTAGTGTGAGCTGGGGGTGACTTGTTAACAGGAAAATAAGCACACACAGCACATGGGATCCATGCAATACTGGATCTATGCCTGGAGAAAGTTCCGGTCCAGGTGTGCTGTGGCAGAACCACTCACTTATAAATGGAAAACAACCTATAGACCAGCTAGAAATTGACAAGAAAACTAGAGGGTTTTGTATCTCTTTTAACCATCCCAGGCCTTCCTTCAGAGAATACAATTCCCCTGTCCTAAGAAATTGCGGAGTGGTTTAGGGAGACAGTGTACTTAATTGGGGAAATTTCTCCTTGGAGTCAGAATTTAGAAGGAATAGAAAGGGAAAGATACGCATTCAAGAGGTCTGATGAACAGAGAATCCCTGTAACTATGGAGTGTAAATATCTTGTACCATTTTATGTAACGGGGCGCCAGTTTTCTCTTCCTCTGAATTATTTCCTCATGGCAGCTGCTGTTCCCTTGCACGTGCCCAGCCAGCACATCTCTGGGAAGGGGTGGCACCCACCCTGGGAGTACTCAGAGTGCTTTGCGAACATGCTACGTAGACCTGACAAGCAGAAACACCTTTGGATCTGGCCTGAAGATAAATTGAATAGGTTATGACACATCTGGAGAGGTGGAGGAGTTATTCCTGTCCCTGGACAAGTACCTCGAGTTCTTTGGAAATCCAGTACTAGAAAATAGAAACAGAAATGGCCCAGCCCTATCTTCCCAGTCTGCACTCCTCCCCTGCACCACGAGGCGCCACTGGTCTGTGCCACTCTGGGTTCTGAGCCCTGCCTAGGTGCCAGATTCCAATGTAGCAGCTCAGACAGGGAGATGCTGATGCCCAGAAGGCAGGTGATCCCTGTAAGAGTTATGGAAACACAAAGAGGGAAAGAGAGCCCTCCTCTAACTGCACCTCTGGCTTGGGGCTCTGTCTGCTTTGCCATAGGTGCCTATGACCGCTTCCTGCCCTACATTCTCATGGGGAGTCTGACCATCCTGACAGCCATCCTGACCTTGTTCCTCCCAGAGAGCTTCGGCACCCCACTCCCAGACACCATCGACCAGATGCTAAGGGTCAAAGGGTAAGGAGGCCTCCTTCTTCACAAAGTTGATGCTCTGGGTCTGGGCCTGGCAGAGAGTTGCCCACAGAGTCAGAAATGCACTGGACTAGTTCAGCCATCAGGGGGTTAGACCTGGCCAAGTGTTTCCAGCCTGTTCTCTCTGGCCTGACCCAGACCGCCACGTCCACATGCACATCGGCATAGCAACAGCAGCTCTGGGAGAGTGCAGAGACGAGGAGAAGCCTTTCAGAATCTGGGTATGATTCTTTGCCTTTAGTGAGATAGCCTCAGTTCTGGGTTTGTTGGTTTGTTTTGAGACTGGTAGACATCTTTTTAAGATTTGTTACTAACATTTTTTTGGCTTGCTTTTATAGAATAAAATACAGGCAGACTCCAAGCCACACAAGGATGTCAAAAGATGGTGAAGAAAGCCCCACAGTCCTTAAAAGCACAGCGTTCTAACACAGCCGCCAGTGAGAAAGGAAAAGACTCTCCTGTCAGAAATGGCTTGTGCAGACACTGAGTGCTTTGGAGGCAAAGGCCTGATGGACACCCACACTCAGAGTTGCATGTAGTCCTAGAGCACCCTCCCTCCAGGGACCCCGTGGCTACTGACAGACAACTTTGGATAAATCCTAACTATTACAGTGAGGGACTTGGCACTTCCTAAGAACTCAACTATTCACTAGAATCAGTGGGATTTGGAAGAATATGAGAAGCATTTGCTAAATTTACATTTTAATTTCAGGTTGCCTGAAAAGACCCCTGATTGAACTAGAGGTCTAATCCCTCCACCCCTCTCCCCCCAAAATCTTTCCCCCATTTCCCTCTAATGGTGCACTTTAGAGGAAACGAAATAATTTCATAGAGAGTTTGATTTCTCCTAGATTCTCAGTTACAAAGAATATTAACTGGGATTGTTGCTTCCCTAGGACAGGAGAGCACAAGTCTGGGGAAACCTAAAAGTAATTAATATGGAGAGGACTGAGCAGATACAGAACACAGGCAAATGCATTGATTTATGAGACCTTAGACCACTCAGTGTGACCACTGGGGAGACTTGTTTACATCTGATCAAAGCATTGGGCTTGTCGAGGCCCATAAGAGATGCATCATTGTATCTCCTATTCTTGTTTTCCACTGCTCTGTGATCAAATCTCCTAGCTACTGTGGTTTCTGGTGTATGGCTTGAAGGAAGGATATCACTGAGAGAGACAAGCAAACTTGTCCCTTCTCCCAGAACTATAATGTGGATTTTGATTCTTTGTGTTTTGTTTATTTGCTTGTTGTTTGTTTATTGTATCTTTTTCTCCTTAAGTTATTTGCCCTTCAGAATAGACTTAGGAAAGGCTGATTCCTTAGCCTCCCGGTTCGTGTCCTTTTTTTGTTTGTTTGTTTCAAGCCAGAATCACTCCAGCAATGGTCTGTGGTTGCCACCTGGGCAGGGACTCACCAGCCTCCGCCACTAGCACTTCTCTGAGTGCCAAAAATGATGTCATTGTGTGTGTTCCTGTTGTGGTACTTAATCATGGGAAAAAATTACAAAGAAGAAAGTTAAGCTGGGTTCACCTCTTTCAGAGCTGCTCAGTCGTGTAACACTGGGATATACTTCGTGTCCAGTGTAATCATCTTCTCTTTTCTGATATGTTACCGTGGTACTCCTAAAGCATATGCTTCACCTGGTTAAAAAAACATATTTTTGTGAAAGCTACTGAAGTGCCTTGGGAAATGAAGATGTTTTAATAAAATGATTTTTTAAAATAATAGCAACTGCCCACAACTTTTATTTCCACAGTTTGGTGAGCCATGTCACACTATCACCTGACTTTTCTCTAGGTCAGCTTGGACTCATTCTAACAGTGATTTGTGATGAGTCTCTAAGGCTAAGATTTAACCCCCATGTGCTAGAGACCTTCACTCTATTCATTGACTGTAGACTGAGCCAGCATTCTTGCACAAGTGTCTTAGTCTGGGTTCTCCTGAAAGCAGGACCTGAAACCAGTGCTCCTGTGCAGTTTGGTAGTTTATTTGGGAACAAGATTCCAAGGAGCAGAAGTGAAGAATGGGGCGAGAAAACAGGGAAGGAGGGAGACCCAGTACAAGGATGGATTATCAGGATGGCCAGTGCCAAGGGCACTACTCCATCTAGCCAGAACTTCTCAGGAGCCTTGTGAAATGTATCTCAGAACCATCTGCACCATGGATGAAAGGGGGAGCATTTACGTATTGGCCTCCATCCCCTATTCATCAAAGGCAGCCCCACAGGGGTCAGCTTCCACATTTCCAGGTTGTACATGCATGAATCCCAAACAGGTTCTATCCCCTTGGTAGAAAGTAAGAGGTAATGCATTGCAGGCCTGAGGTGGAGCACTGCTGGGCTGCCCTTCAGTGAAGCTGGTCAGAGTGTGTGAACTGGTCACTGCAACAGTGGCTGGAATAAGAGGTCAGGCTGAGAGGGTTGAGGGTTGGACACGGTGCACAAGATATAGATAGATAGGTAGGTAGGTAGATAGATAGATAGATAGATAGATAGATAGATAGATAGATAGATATGTCACGGCCATTTGAGTTAGAATGGGTAGACCTGGGTTAACGGCTCCAGGGTAGATAACTCAAAAGGCACATTGCATAACAAAATGAGCAGCATCAAACTCAGGCAGTGGGAAGGAAGCTTGTGAGATGCTCTACTCTCATGCCTGGTTCTGTGCAGGGTTCCACATTAACTGGCATCACAGTGGCTCCAGAATATGAATTACAGTCCTACCTGCCCTTTCTGTTGTTGCACAAATGAGCAGTTCTGAGTTTTCTCTCTTATTCTCTATGCAAGTGGTTCCTTTCATTTGTGGCCTTTCAGGGGAAAAAAATCATAATTACTTGAATTCTTTGAGCTCTTCCCATAATAGGGCAGTAGCCCAAGTCACTGCTTCTGGGCTAAACCAAGTATCCCAAAACCCAAGTCCTCTGTGCAGGCCTGCCGAACTCATTTGCAGCTTGTTTCCATCAGAGCCATGACTTTTGGAAATTGACCAGGGATCTCCTCTCAAAGAAAGAGGCATGTATAACCTGTAGTCACAGGGGTGTTTGTGCATGATGAGGTGCTCAGTTAATGCTCGTGAGAATTAGAAACCAGGATACCCATGGAAGTGCAAAGGAAGTGGAGAAGCAATTCAGATTTTAAAAATAATAACTTTTCTACGACACATCAAAGTGAAAACAAGACTGTACCCCATAATCTTTTCCTATTCTTGACAACTAGTTCCTGTCTCCAGAGCTCGCTGAACACTCTCCTGAATTCCAGAAGGGCTGGTGTTTGCCAAAGAGAATTAGTCTTCTTAATACCGAGAGTAAGTGACGGTGAATGAGTTGGGCAGAGGCCACCCTCTCTGTCAGGTAGTAAGTAGCACAACAAATCTTTCCCCTACATGTTTGCCATTTAATTGATTTTCCTAAAGGACTTTTTAGGCTGATAGAAAGAGGCTTGATGCAATTTAGCATCAGCAGTAACTTGTGTTGTGTCCCATTGCTATAAAAGCACTTTGGAAAAATACATCTGTTTCTCCTTCAATCCTCAGAAGTCTTATGAGATTAATAAAGAATGCCTAGGATGACAGAATCACAGGTTTCTCAGCAGAAATTGCATGTCTTCCTGGAGTCTCAGGCAGACCCACCCCAGAGGGTCTCTCCTTGGGAAGAAGGGGCCTCATCTCAAGGACAGGTATGCAAGAGGCTGCCAGAGACCCTGGGATATCATCTCTCTGATGGGCCAGCTACAAGGCGTCAGTCAGGCACCTGACCTACTCTTTTCACCCCAGAAGTCTTACATGAGAAGCTCTTCTCATGGATCTGTAGGGGACGTGTGGAAATACACTCTGCACATCAAGGAGAGACTGCTAAATGCATGCGGTGGTATCAGTATTTCACAGGGCTAGTCTACTGAACCTTCAGAACTATCTTATTCATAATCATGTAACCTTTGATTATGCAGAAAATAGTTCTGAAAATAAATGTCATCATAGAATTGCCCTCCCCTAGATCAAACAAAATGAGCATAAAAAAGTAAAAACCTATACATTTTTTTCACCAAAATTAACCAAACAAGAAAGCAGCATAACTTAATACACTTTATAAAACTGGTGAAGGGAAAGAAAGAGAAGATTCTAACGTTGCCTGTCAACTCTAAGCATACTAAAAAATCATCGACTGCTGCAACAGTCTCCCTACTTACTCCCAAATCTGGCAAACAGCAGACTGGGTGAAGCCCTCTCTTTATTTCCCTGTCCAAAGATTTTTGGAAACTACTGTAGAAAACAAATGGATGAAATGGAGAAGATGGACAGTGGGCCTAATCACTCTGAAAGCAGTGAGACCTGCCCTGTGAGAAATGCTAAAAGGAGTCCTTCAGGCCGAAACGAAAGGATACTGGACAGCAACGCTGGTCCATGTGAAGGAATTAAGCCTATGGATAAAGGGCACCACCCAAGTAAATACAACGGACAGAGTTCATGAGAGCGAGGAAATTACTACCAACCTTACTGAAGAAAGGGATTATAAGAGAATACTGTAAACAACTGTATGCCAACAATTCAACAACCTAGATGAACTCAACAAATTCTCAGAAACACACATTACCAAAATCGACTCAAGAAGAAATAAAATCTGAATGGACTTAAGAGATTGCATTAATAATCAAAAACCTCCCAACTAAGAAAAACTCAGTCAGATGGCTTCACTGGTAAATTCTACCAAACATTTAAAGAATTATCACCAATCCTCAACTTCCCAAAAATAGAAGAGGAGAAACACTTCCTAACTCATTCCATGAGGCCAGCATTCACCTTACACTTGGTAATTTTTCTTAAATTTTAACAGATACTTTTATTCAGTTATCCCTTAATGAGAGACAGACCCTCCAGGAAAATATACTTCGTGACGTCCACACCTACTTCTTTCAAGCAGACTAATCGTATCTGGGCTTCCCGAAAGCTTAGTAACAAAACGTGTAAACTCACCTACTGTCAGCCTCCACCCTTCACAGTGAAATGGGTACAGGCTGTCTGGGATCTGCTGTTAATGGAGGAAATGTTTGACCTATGAGAGCGCTCAGTGTTCAAATACTCTTGTAGTTGTCGTGATTTGTTGAAGCCTGCTTCAACAGGATGAGCCAATGTTGCACCTAAAGAGCTCTGCCCTCTCACAGGTGATTCACTCAAATAAGCAATCTCCATGACAGGGTCATTCTCTGCCACCCAGCTCTCTGCGGGTACCTTGCTCAGGGAGACAGACGTCAGAGCAAGAGTGCCTTTGGTGTGCTCATTCTTTTTCCCACAGCGTGACAGAGATTTCCATCCACGTTGCCAAATATGTAAGTCTCTCCCTTTGGGAACACTAAGACTACTCCTTTTCCCTGGAAAATCAGGGCCACCCAAAGCAAAATTATTTACCCTTGATTGTTCAAGAACAATTGCTCACTCCCATTCAATTTTTTTACTTTTGCCTCTTCCTCAAGAATGTTAAAGGATATTTCTGCTATCAGTATGTCATATTTTTCTAGAGGCAAACAGTATAGTGCTGAATTCTAAACTGCAGTTTGGAGACTATCCATTGAATGAGCATTTTACAAAGAAAACCAGACAGTAGCTCACACAGACGACATAGCTGATAGTTTAGTGGTGAAGCAGAACATATCTCATGAGTGGGGAAATGGATAGAGAGGTCTCCTGCCCACCTGACACCTCATCCAACATGCACAGAATCGAAGCCCTCCAAAAGTTGTTCCTTTCCAAGATTGTCCAGCTCACTGAAGGGCATCATTGTGTCATTTTGAGTCCTCCTAGAGCTGACACCAAGATGGAATTAACTTGTAAGAGTTTAATGGGGAGAATGCTCTTGAAGGGTAAAGAGGAGAGGGAGCAGGAGAAAGCAGAGAGACACTCAGACCATGATGCAGGTATGAAGAGGGAGAGGGAAGGAAGGAGGATTATGTAGGAAGAGCCTCAGACTGCAGAGCAGTTCTGAGAAAGTTTGGCCATGCTGATGGGAAGCCACAAAATATAGATTGCCTGTTGGAGGAGTCCCACCTTGGGCAAAAATGACCTGGCTCTGGTACCTACACTGTATTCGTTCATTGGCTGAGAAAGGCCAGAATGTGTGAACTTGTGTGGACACCACAGTGGATCTGAAGGTGCAGCAGCTGGAGCTTGTCAGCTATGTTCCTTGTAGAGGAGTCTCTTGAACAGAGAGATCTGAGAACCTACATGACTGCCACAATCATTCATTCAGTTATGCAACCTGGGAGTCATGCTTGGTATCTCCTTCTCCCTTATCTCAAAGACCCAATCCATCGCCAGTTTCCTG